ATTCCTGATTTTTCTGTTGTCTTTCCATAATAAATTATAGCGACGACTACTACTCTGTTTTTTACGTACGTTAACGTTGTTTCATTGTAACTTTAATTGTGGTTAATTAAAGTTTCCTAATAATTAATTTTTAACTTTCTATTTATTTTGAGATTGGACTAACAAATAATATTGTAACTTAGTTACATATCTCTCTTGAAATTATATCAACTTTATATATCTTTTATAAGGTGAGAACATTCTCTTTCCTTACTTATTTCGATAATATCTTTTCACTCGTGTGACTGGCAAGCTTTGATAATTGATATATACCATTGTTGTTAGTGGGACAACAATCAAATCCACACACAGGAAAAGAAAAATGAGGGAGAGACAAAAATTGCTCCAACACACTGTATTTGGTTAATGCGAAATGTGTGGAAAAAATGAGAAGCGGCGATAAATATGTTTAATGGTTTGATAATTAATTAATTATAACAATATAATAATTAATAAATATAATACATACATATATATATATATATAGTCTAACAGTTATAATTAAAATAAAATATATAAACAATAAAATTATAATAAAAACATATATTTATCTCCAAATATTTATTATAAATAAATATCATAAAAATACATATTTTTCCAATAAATATTATATAAAATAATTTTTTAAATATTTATTATTTAATTAAAATATTTATAATTATTTAAAGTCTCTAATATGTCTTTTAAAATATTTTAATTAATCAAAAATATCCTTTTAACAATTTTAGAAAATTTGAAATGTTATAATTTTTTTATAAAAAAAATTTGAATAATTTTTTTATTTATTTAAATAAATAAAAAAATCATGTAAATAATGATTTTATTAAGACTAGTAAAATGGAATCATTCGATATATTTATATTTTATTTAATAAAAATGTTTAAGAATTATCAATATTTATTAAACTTATTGATAATTTGATTGGTCTTTAAATTTCAAATTCTTGAATTTAAGTATTGTGTTTGATAAAAATAATTTATTAAACAAACTTTTTCTCGTAATTTAAGAGTATATTTTTTTTTTTGTCCTGATTTGCAAATATATATATATATATATATATATATATATATATATATATATATATATCACTCTTTTAAAGGCAAATATATTTGAATTACAATAATTACACCAATAAATTTGGTGAGTATATTTTTATTATAATAATTTAGATGTTAACGTGGTTTAAAACAAAATTTGTATCCCCGTGAATTAAGTAGATAATTTTTCTATGTAAAAAAAGTTGTCTATTCCGTGTGTGTCATATTTTATTTTTTTTAATAATTTTTATTTTAATTAATAATTTGATATATACATATCAAAGAAACGAAAATTTGTTC